GGACATCTTATGAGACAACAGGAACTATGGAAAACCTAAAACATTTAGTAACTGTGAACTGCAGGAGGAAAGAAGCTGAAAGCTAAATTTGAGTACCATTGGTATTTTTTAACCTGCAATGAAAAATGTATTTGCTATGTTGCATGATTTATATTTAACACTTTGTGGACCAGTGCTTTTAAACGTGGCGGACTGGTGGCGTATTATTATGATTTTAGGACACCCAAATGAAATGACAACTGTGTAATATTATTCCGGAATGTTTGCTTAGTAGGCAGTAACTTGATCTCGCTGTTTGGGTTCCCCCTCCAAAGGAAAATGATCTTTGACCCTTCAAAGCTCTTATGTACCAGGCAGAAAGTTAGTAGTGCAATGAGTAAAGGACAGAAGCGGTTGAAAACCAAGAAATATCCGACTTGTTCTCCAACGATGAGCTATCTGGCTATCTCACATTCCTTCTGAGACGTGTAGTGATAGTGATTTAGACCAGCGTTGGCCAACCTAATACATGTCGAGGGCCAAATTTAGTTTATAGAACACCATCAGGGGCCAGATACAGTGTTTCTTTGAGAAGAGTAGTCGGGGAGTATTGCCCCCCAAACTGAATCAGTCACAACCCGTGTAAAAACAAGTGCATTTAAACCTATGTATTTAAATTTTACGTTGCAGCAATAATATTAAGCCGATATTGAAAATTTCACCAATCGATTTTATTGCACATATTAAACATACAGAGTTTTAAGTGGTTCATATTACCAAGATGGGTTTTGGTTAATTCTTTAGTTTAGGATCACCGTATTGTCATCTGGTAATAGCGGAGTCATGTTTTCATCTAAAATTAAAATTCAGAAAACCATCTGAAGAATTCTCATTAATTTGGTTTCCGAATAGTCAAACTGACTGTGGGCCCTGTAACATGTGAGAGACCAGAAGCCTGTAAACATTTATGGCAAGAAAACCTAAATGATAGAGACTCCCTTTAAGACCTCAGCATAGATAGAGGATAACAATGAAAGGATATTAAAGAAATGGGCTGGGAGGTTATGGACAGGATTAACTCTTTGACTGGAGCGAACGGTATTTAAATCCCACCCCTGTCCTGGCAGGCCCTTTAAGCCTTATGTCGCTAAAATGCATGTAGTTACTTTTTCCTAAACAACTTCAACAAAAATTGGTTTTTAAAAATGAAATTTTCAGGAACTAATTAAAAGACAGTATTTTATGCAATAAATGCCTTTCCATACCTCTTTATTAGTTTTTCTTCATGTGATAAACATTGAAACATGAAAGTTTGCAGAGCGCCACACCACAGCCTGCACACATGATACTTGTTTCTTTTCTAATCTTGTGCTTAGCACTCACGCGACACTTTCTCAGGGCACCATTCTTCTTGTTACTGGGAGAAACATGGACCATTTTGTGAATTTTCAGGCCACCCTCTAGACGATTTACTGGCTCTTTCACAGGTGGTCTTTTCAAGATCGAGGGCGGAGGCGTGACTGCACTCGAGTCTGACGCAATAGATTCGTCATCCACTTCATTCCTTGACTCTTCTCCCTCTCCACACTGTTTGTATGGTTCAGTCATTTTTCTACACAGTCCAATATAAAATCTTTGAATCTGTAATTTCTCTTCTTGTATTTTTCGTTTGTTGTGTCCTTTTTGAATAGAATGAAACTATTCAACCGCAAAGACATGTTTTGTCCATACCATGGGTGTGAAATAGGGGCCTAGTGGACCAATATTCTTCAAATTCAGGGCGTTTGTCGATTCCTGTCATGAACACAATTCCTAAGTATGTCCAGATTTCATCTGATGTGACATATTTGTAATTGTGTTCTCAAGAGTGAGGAGCTAACTCATGTGTGTTGAAGTGCTGGTGAGCATAGCAATTNTTGTGATGTGATTTACCAAGTCGTCATCCAGAAAAAAATTTAATCCATGAAAAGGGATGCATTTTATGTGTTATATCAATTTTGATCCTGACACTACTAGCAAATGGAACTATTGTTGGTACAATGTCTCCGTACGTCCATGAGATGGGCGTGTCAGGCACCGCACTCGTGGTAGGTAAATTTTCATGATTACTGTCTTGTGGATCATTGTCTATCACTGTATTATTGTCACTATCAACTTCATCTAATTCATGAATCATTATTTCATGGCCACTATCATCATCAGCACAAATCTCGTTCACAACATTTTCCAGCTGGTCTGTAGGAACACGAAGACACTTGCTGCAAGAAGCCATGGTGAAACTGAATGAATGTGAAATATTTTCTGACCTTTTCCTTCTCAGAGGGTTCTGACAGTAATATAGACCCCCACAAAGTTTACAAAGGTTTTTTACAAACATGCACAAAAACTATCATATATATGTCTTTGGTTGATGAGTGCCAAGAGAGCAAAGAAGGGAAGAGATTGTCAAAGCGTTAAAACACGCCAACGCTAGGGAACGGCTGGCATCGTCCGGGCGTTAAAACACACCCGTGCCAGTCAAAGAGTTAAGTTGGCTCAGGACACATCAGTGGTAGGCACTTACGAGCAACGTAACTCAGTGGCAGGGGCTAATGTCGTCAAGACTCTGCTAAGTTAGTCAAACAGATTGTTGCGACTTTCAGTTACACACTCATATAAAGTTTGTTCATATCCTTCAAAGAGTCAGGTGAATGAGTGCCATAAATCACAGGCATTCACATCCCTGTGACATAAAATATTTAAGCATGCAGAACATCCCCTCCTATTGAATGGCTGAGAAAGGAACATCAATAAAGATCAAAACTTTAACTGGGAAAAAGTTATATGACTTTTCCAGTGCAGAATGTACTGCAACTTCATGCACACTCGCCACTGGATTCCAGGAACACCCAAGAACCACTCCTCTGACATGTAGACTGTAGACTTGAAACTATTCCCCATTCCATCAACATAAAAACCGTGGCACAAAATGGCATTACCTCTTCAAAAGGATAAAAAATATATATATATATGTGTGTGTGTGTGTGTGTGTGTGTGTTACCGCACAACCCATTGCGTCCCTGCCCTGCCCTCACGCATGCACAGTTTCACATACATACAGGGTGGAAAACTGATGAAGTGAGAAAAGGAGGAAGGAAATAAAAGGCATCAAAGGAGAGAAAGAAAGAAGGTGAAGATAGAAATGACTCCCCAGGGTGCACTGTTGTTGACAGGAGCAACCATATGCAGTTCCTCATTACAGAAGCAATGGAACATCTGGTCTCTCCTAAACCCCTGTGTGGGCCTTGCCTTAGTGACACTCCTGTTCTCTTCTAGTACATGCTGTGATTAACAGATTAATATGCTGTATGTGCATGTTATTTAGCAAAAACTTTTGATAGTGCAGGTAAGGGTAGGCCAGGGAGAATAAAGAACTTCAAAAAAACCTGACCTAGTGTTGCTTCTGTCCATCACAAATCCCACATTCACCAACCAGGTCTTGAACCCATGTCCACTTGGAAAAGTCTGTGAACTAGCCATATGACAAACATGCTTCAAAACGTTTCCATGCTGCACAAGACAATATCAGGTATGACAGACACATCCCAAAACAGATTATTGCAGCCCATAACCTGACCTCAAGATTTCAATTGAAGTTGGTAAGCATACAGACTCCACAGAAAACTGAATTCTTGCAAAATTTCTTTCAGCACCCTACATCTTGCAGTTTTTGTGGAGTGGGAGTTTTAAAATCATAAAAATTGCATTTTTTGGTACACTGCATCAACCAAAATTGATGACAACTACGCAGTGTCATATGCAATGAAAGAAAAGCAGGTGATCAGCTCCTCCTAAAACTTCTAGTTATTTGAACGAAACCTGAAAACCAAACCCAACCTAGATCACACTACGTCCACATACGGCTAGCTCTGCTAATTAGGCCCAAATGAGTTGACTTTTTACCATAGGATGGAAGCACAGCGCAGTCTCTGATGAAACAGTGTTTCATACAACAAGTGGACACAAAGAAGTCAGTAACTGTATTAATGTACCAATGTTGCTAACCTTTAGGCCCTACTTAGATCACATTACTTTTTGCAAGAAAACTCAAAACCGAGGAAATGACGGGGCAGAACACCCAGATTTGATGATAAATTAATCCCATCTAAGTTCTGGTACATCTTCAACTTGAAACAAACGTAACATTTTCATATAATGATACCATTTTGCTCTTGCATCTGAAAACATGATAATATAATTCTAGTTTCTGGGTCACAGCAATGCAGTGTTCTGTGAAACCAATTCCTTACTTGAACCACATGGATGCCCCCTAATAGTAGCAACATATTATCACCATTTAAAATTACATTTCTTACTTGTGTTTACATGAGTCAGGGATAGCTCAGTTGGTGTGCCAATGGACTAAGGGGCTGAATGGCTAGCATTCAATTCCTGGCAGGGGCAAGAGATTTTTCTCTACTCCACAGTGTCCAGACCTGCTCTGCGGTTCACTGAGCCTCATATTCAATGGGTACCAGGGGCTATTTCCCTAGGGATAAAGATGGTGGAGGCATCAAGATGAGCACCCACCTCTATCTAGTGCCAAGGTCAAAATGGTGAAGCTATACCTCCACTCTCCATATACTTTCATGGCGTGGTGCTTAATTAAGGGTAGGAATAACTTTACCTTTTTTTTTTCACTTTTATTTTTCTGTGTTTTGAGTGGGAGTGACTTAGGTTAATTTAGGTTTTAGTAAAATACTGAACTATTTTACCATGAGAACAAAACTGGAAAGAGAAAGACACTATGGCCTGTTTCATGGTGCAAACCTATGACCTGAGCTTATCTTGGAAAAGTATAGGAAAAGACAAATAACAGAATAACAGGCCTGGAGAAGAATTGTATGTTATCTTGTTAAATGTAAGAAATCACAGCAGAGAATGTACCATTACATACTGTCCAGTAAAATAAGGATACGTGTGCTTCGTAGATGAAATTAAGACAAAAAGTAATCGACAACTAGCTGTCAAGGGATACTCACTCTTTGGAATTTGCCTCAAGACTTCTCCTACGTAATTCTTCCAGTGTCACATTGTTACTTTGTTCCCATGCTTGTTTCTCTTTCTCATATGCTCGCCGTTTCTCTTCTAACTCATTGATCTGCTGCTCAAGAGCTTTCTTCATCTGTTCATGACGGCGCTGCAGCTGTTTGAAAGATAATCCAACATGTACTTCTAAGACAGAACAGCAATTATGAACAACTGTCTAATAAATATTCTACACATATTAAGAAACAAAAGATATATACAGTTGACCAAACTTTCTGCTTGTTTATAATTCCAATTCCTGAAATATAATGAACACAAATATGTCATTGATTCATACTTTTCAGTACATAAGATGTTTCAAATGGAAGGAGAAGGTTTGACTTACATGACAAGTTGACAGCATGAAACTAAAAACTAAATATACAGGACGTCCCAGGAGGAAAGGTCAATATTCTGGGAAATTATAGTATGACATTCTAAGCAGAAAACTGTACGTGTACATGTCCTATTCTGAACAGTTTCCGAGATAGAGTTATTTCTCTGTACAGTTCCAAAATTGTTGATAAGAGAGATATTATGTACTGTTTCTAATACAAGCTTTTATTGTACAAGTGACAAAGTTGGTACAGCTTACCTAGTATAATACATATTAAAAAATTCTACCATCAACATCAATTCACTTTGCAACTTGTGTGAGGACAAAGCGCATTGCTCATTTCAGTGCATCTTTACGTTCCCGTAAAGAGAAATAGCTCTATTTCGAAAACCGTTCGGAATAGGATACATGTGATTATACACTTTTTGCTTAGAATGACCGATACTATGATCTCCCAGAATATTGCCCTTTCCTCCTGGGGCAACCTGTATCTTGAAACCACTGTTACGTGTACATTCCATTGTTCACTCACCATACAACACTTCTGGATCCTAAAACGCACGAGAGTACTACTCGAAAGGTCACATGGTTATCATGAGGGTACTGCAATTGGTATAGAAATAGAAAGTAAAATTGTAGGCTAGCTTAAATGAAATGACTCTCCTACTGATCTTGAAAATTAGCAACCTGATTTAGACATTATCAGGAATGGAAAACACACACATGAGCAGATGTTATGCACAAACACTGAAACAGGCACTGCACACTGACTCAGATGACAGATGAATATGCAGCACTGGAGGAATGATGATTAACAGGAAAACTGAATCACTTGGAGAAAAAAACTGCTTAAGTGCCACCATGATTTTGTATATACTCATCAACTTTACAAACTTACATCTGCTTCTGAATCCTTAAGCTTCTGTTTCTTTTCTCGAACCTTCATTTCAAACACCTGTTCCATTTCTGACTCCATTTTCTTCATTTTGGCTTCATGATCACGCTTTTCTTCTTCCATTTGAGCCAGTGGATTCCTGCACATCCACCCAAATACATCACTTGAGTTGATAATTTATATGGTGTACTGTTACACAGCAAACAGAAATTTAAAGAACAAACTCCAATAAGCCAAATATGACCTGATAGTTCTCAAAGCAAATAATGGTGCCACGGTGTTCTCTCAGATGAATTCACCAACAGAATGTAGAAATAATATAAATGCAACCATTACAGAACAAAACTACAATGAAAGAAAAAGCAGTATTATTATAAAGACAATTCACAGCTGCAGCAACAATTCTTGAAGATTTTATGATGTGTCATGAGTTCCAAACACCAGTTTCACAGTGACACACGAGGTTCAACAAGCAGACTGATTCTGTAAAAAAGTAATAATGCCAATAAACTTTTAGGGAATGTTGTCACTGTCACTGTCACTGTCACTGTCACTGTCACTGTCACTGTCCCTGTCACTGTCACTGTCACTGTCACTGTCACTGTCCTTACCTTCTGATTTTATATGTGCATTCTAACATATCTACAATGGCTGGAAAAATATTCCAAAATCCTACTCCTAAGTTCTTTCAGAATTTACATAACACTGTTCTGAATGTCTTCTAGTGAATCAAATGTGCCTCTTTCAAGATTTTGTCTTGGGAACATGAAAACATCACATGCAAAAGTTATGAATGCTTCATAGCTACCACTGATTTCTTAATAAAAATCACTTCACCAAAGTGCTGCATAAGAGGGAACAGTCGTCATGTGAAATCTACTTGTCTGGTCAAAGATCTGCTTTCTTCTGATGAATACACAGAAATAAACATTCCAGAACTTAAAAGCAAAATGGTTGCTTGACTGTTTTGGAGGGCAAAATTCATTTTGGCTAATTCGTTCAATATGAAAAAAGTAAATTACCATAACTTAAGACTTCTAATTCTTACATCTACACTTTCTTCAGTTTCTGAGACATAGATATTATTAAATTGCTTCTGGATTGCACTGGAGGAACAAAGTCTCATCACCGGCTAAGTCCCCCCCACTTAAAGTCACTTTTTGCTCTCTCCTGAGATTTTGACACAGACATTCAAGTTTGGACATATGGTCAAAATCAATATCACAGATTCTTTATTTAGGGGTGTCTACTCCATCTTCTGAACAATTACTCAACCATCCAGCAGCAGTTATTATTTTGACCACTCATTCCATATTTGTATCAATTCCAGATGCTGAGAGTCAGCTGTAACATCTTCACTTCCATTTTGAAACTGCTTAACCCACCCGCAATGAACTTACTGCAATGCTCTTTAAATTTAAGTGACGTTTCCCAAAAAATTACGCCAAGAAAAATAATGTCAGTTCCCTTTTCTAACAAATTTATCACCATGTTTCTGATCAAACAAATAAAACTCTGTGCCAATAAGGGCTTAATGCACTCACAGAACAAACTGAATCCAAAAAAACCATTTGTCACAAAACAGCTGAATAAATTAAAATGCATAATCAATGGTATCTCACTAGTGCAGTCTGGTGCTGAAGAAAAATTGTCTGGTTCTTTAATTGTCAAGATTTGTAATGTGTTAAAATACTCAAAGATAATACAAATGCAGTAACGTCCTCTGTTTATGAAGACATATAGTCAAGCCAGCATTCAACTGATCATCACAACTACAACCAAGGAAACATTCCAATTTGCATGTGTATACTACCTTCAGTTAGTACCTATGATGCTAATTCCTTGCATTCTGATTTTTTTGTTAATTGAATATATATAAACAAAAATGTTGCATTACTTGCTTTTAAACATACTGTTCAGAAGGTGGTATATGGTGCATAAACTCACACTTGCAAACTACACAAGCGTTACGGCTTGGTGAACATGGAAGTAAAGCTATATAAAAACCATAATACAGCAGTAAATCCACTGTGTACAGTAATGCTCTTGCAATTCCAAAGTTACCAATCATTTTCTAACCTAAATAAAAAAAAAACCAACACGAGTGAATAACATTTGCATCTGAATTAATATTCTACAGTATATTCATCATGACTTTTAGAAGAGGCTGATTATTTGAATTCAGCATGACTATGTGTTAGCTGAAGTAACATATTCAGTCAGAAACAGAACAGACACTAGCAAGATGTTGCCACAGTATGCAAGGAAACATATCTCTCACTGCACTTCTGCTATTAACAGAACTTTCTCAGACAAAGCAATGAGTCCAAAAAACCTATTTGAATTTCAGTAAAATTCCGAACACCGCAAAGCTTCTGAGTAGTAAAAGAAACTGAAAAGGAGAAGTCACTTGTTGCCTGGGTGGAAAGCTTAAGTCTTACATTTCGTACATACGACTTCCACGAAAGCTCAAGGTTTCCATTTCAAATTTATGATTTCTCCATGATGTGGAGGTTTGTTAACTCATACAAGAAGAAATTCTGTAGTTTAAGAGTTCTTTGATTACCTTGATTCTGTGAAGTCAATTTTTTAAGGTTTAAAAAGAAAATCCAGATTCTGTTACACCAAAAAGGATAGAATAAAGAACTTGGAGGAAGGTAACATGAAGATTTGTGGAGACAAGGGGTTCATGTAGACCATGCATAAGAAACAAACACAAACACAAAGGTGATCCAAGAGGAGGTTTCAGTTTTAAAGAAGTGTGATGAAATAACATTGATAAGCAATGGCAGATCGCCATGTGCTTTAGAAGGAATAAACATATATATAAGACTTAATGGAATCTGGACTGAAAGGTGACATTACTGAAGTCTGAATTTAAATACACATTGACAGAAATAGCATTCCCACCTTACGATGCACTTCTATACGAATATGTGCATGCAACTTTACAGGCAGTTGCATGAAGGTTAAAGGTTTCATATTGTTCTAATTTAAATATCACCAAGGCATGAATATTACAAACAAAACAATGGTCTCATTACTTTAGCGTGAGAACTAAAGAAATGTTCACAATTATTTAAGATATTCAGATATGCAAAAATGATGAAGCCATAGAAAACAGAGGACCCGTATCTTCAATTTTACACTACACTAATTATATAAATTAAAGAGAAAACATTAAAATTAATTTTAAAATATTGTGTATTCATGTGTTGAAGTTCACACCATTCCATATGCTCAAAACCAATAAGATTCCTAACACCACTGACCAATGCGAATGGATGCTGCCAAAAAAGGTAAATAAAAATTAGAGGAAAACTGAGCCGTGAATGTTTGTGAGACATTCAGTTACCTGAAAATTTGTCTGTCTCATTTAAATGTCAAATTTACTAGTTATTATAATTTTAAGAGGCTTACATATACCAAAAAAGCAAATGCTGCTATGAAATTTCAGATTTAACTGCATTAAGTAGTAACAGAATAACAGAAATACAGAGTATCCAATTCACAGTTATATTTTCTCACAACTCGGTTCATAACCGGGCTCAATTATATGAAAGCCTGATATTTATTCTATAGCTTGATTAAGTAAGCATTTTTATTATGTAACTCGCACATGACTACAACAATTACATTACTCTGTAACTGCAATGTTCATAACCTGGCATTGTACAAATGACATACATACATCAAAGTCCAATAACAAAACAAACCAACACTGAAGGATTTCCAGAAGTCTCATTAATAGTGTAAATTAATATGCCCTCCTGGTACACATCAACAAGAATAAAAAATATGGTACACAGTGAATGCATATTCATAAGATTTGGGGCAACTTATTTAACTCTTAAAATGATGTTCATGCTAAATAATCGTGCACCCATATTCTCTGCAATCAGAACATACACACAGCGGTCATGCAGAACTGAGGTTTTCACAGCTGACCTGCACATAATTAATTATAAATGAATGCAATGTGCAAAATTACTTTCCAGGATGTACACTTTTACAATATGGTGACCACTCACTCAGTGATTTGTTTGCTTTATGTTTTCATGTAGTTACGCTGTTACCTACATATATATATATCTGAAATTGTATTAAAGTTACAACACATACATTATCTCACAATTTAACATGGTTATTTATCTTCAATAAACATGAATTCAGTGAATTTAGTGTTTATATTTTGACAGCATGGTGTTCCAGCATAAGGAAAACATTAATTCAAAACAAATTTGACAGACAAAGATATCCTGTGAATGTATGCTAAACAGGTTCAAGTATATGGTCATCATATCGTAAAGTTGCTGCTTCCAATCTTCCATTCATCACACTGCACAGCACAAAACGACAAACATAAACATGAGACAACAAATTTTCACAAACAGCACACAATAAGGACACATCCAAGTCATGTAATGCCCAATGGTGAGGACCTGTACAATTGAAGAGTATGTTTCATATAAACTAACCAGCAGCACTACTGATAAGAAAAAAGAATACACTACAGCCATATAATCTAACATCCACTCTGATAACCTACATAGCAAATGATCATCCATAAGTCATCACTGTTGTCCCCTATCATGGCTCCAAGCACAAGCCATTTTTGTGCATTCTTTGCACTAAATATATTAAAATTAGCGCATAAGCATGATCTGCTCCCACNCCCAAGCCACATATTCAAAACTACTAGACATAATTACATGAAAATTTGGTATTTCATTTTGTTTCATGCTGATACAGCATAACCTCTATATTACATGAAGCTCAAAAGGATCTCCATTGATTTTCCCAAGAATGGCAAGACAAAGTATAATCACAGTGTCATCTAAGTCACATCTAGCGATACAGCAAATATTTAACAAAATAAAAGCAAACATACTTTCAGACTCTATACACTGTGAGGAAGTAGCAAGATTTAGCTTTGTACAATACACTTACATCTACAATAAACATCAAGGGCAATGAGATATGTAGAACTGCAAAGAATGAATTTTGAAAACATGTATACTCTCCCGAATGTTCTATCCTGAATTCCAAACAAATTTTAAACATAGATATACTCTCATTAAATTACTCGTACCTCAAAAGAGCTGCATAAAATTTAAATATCTGTGATCATTCTGAATGAAGAATTAAAGCATTTGCACAAGCAGGGTTGCCAACCAACTAAAACTGTCTTACCACTGACATTTTAACTCGAGAATGGCAAGGAAAAATGTGCTCTATCAAGAACTGAAAATAATTAAGCTTTACATAAAATATACAAAAGTCACCACAAATGTGAGGATAGAAAGTTTGTTCACAGGGCTTCCCAATTTTGCTGCACAACAGGAATGAACAACTGTCATATTTATTTCATTTATGCATTGGTGGTTCCTGTAACAACAGTTTCGATACCTCAGATTAAATAGCCTGAACTAATGGGATGATCAGTGAATAATGATTTGGAAAGGATGTGGAAAGAAATGGTCATGACCAAACTCGAGTAAAAACCACAGCAAAACACAAAAACTTAAAGAGTAACTGGTCACCAGGCAAGAGACTTAAACCTGGGACCTCTGAACACAAAGCTGGATTGCTACCCACTACTCAACTGTGCATTTCAACCCAACAATGGGGTTATATATCTACAACTGCAATAAATGCACATACTGCTAAGGCACGCAATAGTTACAATACAAAGTTTGCACTTTTGAGTTATGAATGAAGGATGTATAGTTACATATCTGAACTGATTAGATATAAACCTGCATTATTTTCAAGAAATCACGATTCTTTGCGCACGTGTTCCTCTTACAGCATCAGAAAATAGGACGCACTCTTCTCAAACACCACCAATCTGTGTTTTACCTTAGAGAGCAAAATAACACCCTATAAACGAAAAGGAAAAATTATTGTTTCAGTGGCTAAAATTTTTAGACAGGGAGATAAAGCACTGTGAACTGAATTATAGAAAATATTCCCAGGAGTGAATCTGCTTTTTAATTAGTAATTTGTATTTCATCATTTATCCAATATTTGATCAGCATTTGGCTTATTATGCCTGAATTCTTGTTGTTGTTTCCCATCAGTTTCATCTACGTACAGAGTTAGTCTTGAGAGAATAAATTTGGATAACAATTCTATGAAGTTAATGAGAGCGATATTCTTCAATAATTACCGCCCATTTTATTAGGAAGCACAGTACCATATTTGGCAATTCTTTCTTATTCCAAAACGGAAATGTTTGTGAATCATATAACAGAATATTATATTTAAGCATCCTGTTGCACTCTATACGATATATGATATAAACTCCGTCCTAAGTGCTACAATAAACTGTTGCACTTAGGACGGAGTTTATATCATATAACAGAATATTTCATCCAGTAATACTGCCCTAGTACTGGAACATCACAAACCTTATCTTGAAAGCATATCATTCAATATCTCCACCCAGCTCATCATGCAAAATCAACACAGTGAACACCTGAATTATTTCTTACACACAGAGTAAAGGAAGGCAAGACAGAATGAAAAGCAAAGAAACTGAAGTTGTTCTTATGAACCTGTATTCAATCTATTCCCTAGCTGTCCTACTGAGGGTTACATAAAGTAGGTGAACCATCTATTTAATTGCAATCTAACAGTGTCTGAGAGGCAGCCACTGTCTTGTGAACTTAAAATTTCACTCTCAGTTGTTTATTTAGAAGTCAGAAGTCTTACATAACCATTTTTATATGTTACAGAAACCAGTGTTTACAAATGTGAATTACAGTGATTTGAGAAAATTCATTTTCAACTGATGATTAGAACGACAGTTAGGTAAGCCATCTGCTAATGTACCTGCATACTGAAGAATTGTCAGACTGCCTTCACTAATTGGAGCCCGAATGGCAATAAGGGGGAATCCTATCTGGCTGTAATTTTGACTGCAGGAACAATCCAACATTCTTTCATAAACTTACATTTCTCTCTATATTCTGCCAACCTAGGCATTAAAAATGTAATATGGCTGTAGTGCAAACATGATACTAGCTTAAAAATCACACAAAAAATTGTAAAAATATTCTTTGAACAGCATTGCTGATTATTGGACATTTACATCATCCTCACCATCAACCACCTCTTCAACCCAACACTGTATCACACTAGATCACTGCAATACATAAATCTGCAGTCAGCATACATGAGATCCTCAACAAGCGTTGGTCCTCCCAACATATTCCTCTCCCTGTCACAAATAGATTTCTTCTTTCTTTCTTCATATACAACAAAACGAATAGCCATGGCATACAAAAATGGTCTTTCTTTTATTTCAAGACACAAAAAGCCTACATCTATCTGTACAGTACAATACTGACTTAGCAAACAAGAAATAATGCTTCCGGTGATTCTCAGAACTTACCATACGGTCATGAAACTGTTCATCACTCCTTGAGGGCACACACTGGACAACAAGGAGGCAAACATTAGCCAAATTATTTGTTAGAGCTGTGAGAAGGCATGTTTTTGAGAATGAAGAATAGTCAAAACAACAACCATTTTTGCATGCACACGCCTACAGCAGTCATCCCAGCAACTGAAGTTGACAGCCAGATACTTAAGTTTCCTGAACTAGCATTCTGTCAGCTGTCAATGTTTGCTTTGCTTTGCTTTGCTTTACTATCCATATGCTACATAAATATTTTAAAACAATGATTAAGGTTTGGCACAAAAGGCATCAGGGGATAAAACATACTCAGTGCATAGATTTCAGCAGCCCAGCATGAAACGGCTATAACTTTGAGACATGAATACTGGTTAATATAATAATTACCTTTTCACAAACACCCAAGGTTATAATCATGCTTAACTGCATAACCATACAAGGTATGACCAACCAGAAACAAGTTAACAATGAGACGGGCTATTCAATGAATAATTATGACAGTAAATCAGAACCTCACTTATCATGTAGGCAATTCACTGAGTACCTGTTTCCTTACAGTGTTTTAGAGCAACACTTGAATGCTCTTTCCCGATGCCTTCATGCTATGACTCTTCAGCACTGGAAAAGCTTTATGGTGCTTAAATGACTTTAAGCAAAGTTTATAGTGAGTAAATAGGATTTGCACTACAGTATATGTGGTATGACATAACTTTGTGTCAAGATTTCCAAAATGACTTCACCAGAAGTAAAGGATGTTTGGCAAAGAACACAATCCAACAAACACACAATTTCAAGTTGCCATGCTAATCTAAATAAAAAATACCTTCAAAATAACATGTTAAGGTCCAGAGATTGTGGGAACTATTTAATGCAACCATTCTGTGTGAACTGAATTTGTCTGCCTTCACTCATGGATAAACATTATAATACATGAATTTTGAAAGTGAAGTTCAATTGTATGTTATCTGAAGCACTAGCAAACTATAAGGAACAGTGCTCTAAAACCTATGCTGACAATATGTAATATACAAATTAAAACTAACAAAAACTGTAAATAAAAGTAGTAACAAAAGCACAGGACTGTCAAACATGAAACCAAAATGTGACACGTGAGTAAATACAGCACGTGCAACTGCTCTAATGTTCAACAGAACAATGGTATGACAATGTAACATTACTTTTAATAAGTTTCAAGGGTTATGAAAATGCAAATCTTAAATCATATTTCCATTCTTGAATGTGACAAAATCCTTTTGAGATGTATGCCAATTTAACTTCATAACTGAGGTTCTGAACCAGTAATTATACAGTTGATGACACAAACACAAGGAACTATTCACAAAGCAGTAAATGTCTTCTGAAAAATAAATCTGTCAATGTACAATGTGTTCACACTGGTGATTAATACCAATATAAGAACTGAAACAACATGTAAGTCAGTTATTCACAACACAGGGCACAGCAGGAAATGCGAATGTGAAGAGGTAAGAGGAGATGCATCACATAGTTCCAAGTCCGCTTGCAAAGATATGCGATGAGAATGATCTTAGAGCATTAAAAGTTTCTGTCATGCTATTTTGCTATTTAACCCTAGACCTGGCATACTGGGCATTTAAATCCCACCCTCAGCTAAGAGGCACACCACTTCAACAGTGGATTTATGATCGGGTTTTCAGTCAATGCAAACAAAATCTAGTCCAATTAGTTAAAAAAATCATATAAAACTACATTTCATCTTTCAGTTTCAATGCTCTTGCAGTTCAAATACTGTTGCAAAGATGTCTGTACAGTTCACAAAACAGTTATCCTGAACTCAGCCTGAAACTGCACTGATACTATGAGATAACTGGGCAAGGCTTGCAAGGCCATGGAATGAGCTAAATGTACTTATTTGGATACTGGTATGTTAATTAAACAAACGTCCTTTCAATATTACATTTTAGCATGAGCCGTGCAGCAGTACTCGCATATAAGTTACTATGTATTACGTATGGCTAAGGCAATGTCTGCAATGAATATGATCACATAACTTCTCATCCTCCTACACATAAACACATACACTTGTCACTTTAACCTCCTTCAAGAGAGAACTGTCCTATTTTCTTTTATAAGATTTCATCCAATTTATGTCCATTTTAAGTCATAATATTACCTGTCACATAAACTTATAAAATAAAACTGTTCTAAACTATACTATGTAAATTTTAAAAGACAGGATTATGACCTGACTTAGTCATCAAGCTAAAAGCAAACACAATAAAATCCTATAAAACTCATAAACAAATATCCCTACTCAGCAGTTCAGTGATACCTGGAAGGCACATTACTACAGTACTTGGGGAATAACTGCTAAACTGATACATGTGCAGAGCTACTAGCATTGCCTCACTCCACTTGAACACCAAATGGTGCCTTGGCATGAAATGAAATGAAGCATTCCTCGTTCAGTACAATTCAGGGGTGCAAACAATTGGTTTTCACCTCTGAAGCAAATTCTCATGCTGAAGAAGCCCACAAAGAGGGTTGATACTTTCAGCCTCGCCTAAACTGAGTTTTGTCAATATACAGCATATAAATTTCCAACTGGTGTGCCAGAACAAACCGGTGGGCGTGAAGGGTCTTCATGTGTGCCAAGGGTGTTTGGGAGAAGCTCAAAAAGAAGTGAGAAAATAACTGAGGAATAAAAAAATTGTCATGGTAAGTTTAAGAAGTACTTTATATTTTTCATAAAAGGTCAATAGGAATGAAAACAATAACATGGAAGATTTGAGGTTTTCATGGTGGTGACTATGAAGAAAGCAGTCTTCTGGGATGTGGCGCCATGTAGATATTGTGTTAACCGACGTTTCAGAGGAACATATCGCCTCCATCTTCATGGTAGAAGACAAGAAGAAATCCACGAGCAAACAAGAGTGAGCAGGCGCAACAGACTGAGCCCGGTCGAGTAAACCCAGCTGTTAAGATGAGGAGGAGAAGGGAGAGGGGCTACATGGGGAATAGGTAGAAGGGGGAGGGGAAGGGTCTGGGGAGGTAAAGGTGGAGGTCCTCCCACCACCACCAACCTTCCAACAAGCAAGCTGTACTTTCCACACTGATGCACAGGGCTAGAGCTCTATGCGATCAAGACAGCCTACATGCATAGTTGGTGCTCCCGGGGGGCGCTTTCAGGCAGAATGGATACAACAGCTGGCAGATCCACAGAGTTCTCAACCATTCTCCAACCATCAGTTGGCCTGACGATAAACCAGATTGTCCCCTTCCTGCCCTGTGTCGGGACTATATTCAACCGAATCAGCAGAGTGCTGTCCTGGCACAACACATCAGTGGGCCTGCCTCCAAAGAAATTATGTAGTTTCCTCTGGCCGGTCAAAGATAGCCTGGGACTAAGGACACTGAGTGTATACAGAATCCCCTGCGAGCGCACAAGGTCTATATTGGGCAGATGGGCCGTTCTGTGGACATGAGGCTGAAGGAGCATCAGCGCCACATCTGTCTCAAACATCCGGACAAGTCAGCTCTGGCTGAACATACCGCATTCAGCTTCAGAATACCTCCATCCTGCCCACCAAGACCCGATATATGGATTGCATCATCAGGGAGGCTACTGAGATTGAACTGCATCCCGACAGTATGAACAGAGAGGTGGGGTTTTGTCTCAGCAAGTCATGGAAGCCTTTGATCTATTCCCCCAAGAANACACAATATCTACATGGCACCACATCCCAGTAGAGGGCTTTCTTCAAAACAACAGTATAATAAAAAAAAGTAATTATAGTAAAACCCCAAGAACTTCTGTCCCTAATATTTCAGATCCCAAAATAACTCTCCAATGTATTTTTACCATCCTTGTCAAGCCATCAGTGTCAGCCTTCAGTCAACTGTTGTTCCAATGCATTTCTGTATCATTTTGTTATTTTTTATTTTTTGGGTTTATTGAACATGGACATTTTCATAATTAAAAAACTTAAGTTAAATGATGATAATGAATCAAGTGTGGCTGGCACTAGTTCTGCACAGTTAGTGTTAGTTCTACAGCCATTGTGTGCCAATATAATGAAAAGCATTTCTCCTCCGGATTCATTTCATCTAGAGAAGAGCAGCCTCGTCCTAAATGTGTTGTTTGTGGCGAGAAACTGGCAAATCAAGCTATAGTTCCAAGCATCACCTTCACATATTTATGCAAGAAATCATATTGAATATTTTAAGGTTTATAGCTGATCAATAATGCCAAGCTAAACGGTGGACCAAAATCACAACTACTTCTGATTAAGTTCAAGAAGCTAGCTACACAGCTGCCAAAATCATGGCAAAAAAATGTGAGCACATATAACTGCTGAGTCAGTAACTTTACCAGCATGCTGCAAAATTGTAAATATTATGTTTGGTGAGGAATATGAAAAAGGGATTTTGAAAATCCCCATCAAATAACATACATAGTCAGCATATACATGACATGTCTCAAGATACTGAGTCACAAGTGACAGCTAACATTAAAGAAATTAATTTTTGCCATCCGCTTGGATGAGTCAACTGTATCACTCAAAACTCTCAACTCCTAGCATTCAACAGGTTTGTCTGTAATGGAGACATCACTGAACAATTTTTATTTTACAAACCACTCCCAGAAGCAACAAAAGGCCACAGCTACTTCAGTTCTCATGATTTGTCATGGAAATCATGCATCAGCAAATTCATGGGCAGTGCTCCCTCTATGTTGGGAAGTCTGGAAGGATTAATCACACTGGCCAAGTAAAAGAACTCTGGAATTGTTTTTACACACTGTTTCCTGCACAGAGGGGCCCTCGACTCACTGGATGAAATGATGAAAATGATTAACTACACCAAGAGTTGGCCATTATAACTGCTGCTATTTTCAGCACTGTGTTCCGACATGGAAACTGCTCACACACAACTCCTACTGCACATGGAAGTGAGGTGGCTATCTCAAGGTTCTATGAGGGAGTCAGTAAATAGGTCACAAATGGAAGTAAAACTGCAATGGATGTAAGGCTGCATAA